AAGTTTTTAATTTCCTGGACAATTCTTTGAACATGTTTCATGGATTATAATTCTTTCTCATATTATTCATTCAAGGTTTACATCATTTTCTTATGCTTTTCTTCTTTATCTATGTCTTTTTTAGATATACTCAGCAACTTTTTCATTATGTCTGTGATTTCTTCTTTTACCTAAGATATTATTTCTGATCTGATTTCTTTTACAGTCTCATGGAGTTGTTCCTTTAGTTTGGTTGCTATCCTCTCAGAAATTTCAAGTGTGCCATTTCTACTTCTTCTGTTTCTATGTCTCTTAAACTCTTTTGCTAGAGGCCAGAGGCTGTAGGCTGAGATTGCCTTTTGCTCCTTCAACTTGACTTTTTCTTGGGTTCCTCTGCATGTGCTAGGTGTGGGGTCCCAGGCACCTCTTGCATTGGCTGCAAATCCATGGTGCAGGGAAACGACCCAGGCACATGGGTTTCTTCTGACATAGGTTCCTGGGCAGATGTTGGACTTCAGGGTGGCTTCTTCAGACATGTGCAACTATCCTGAGTTGGTGGCCAGTGGGCTTGTGGGAGCATGGCTGACTCCTTTTTCAGCCTACACTGGTTACCATTCTCCGATGGCAGTGGCAGCTGGCTATTGTATCTATTTTATGCTGTTTTTCTTTTTCAATTAGCTTTATCTTACTGGACAATTTTATAATGTTCTAACTCCTATTCACCAGAATAGAATTTATCTATTCTTTGTATCTATATGTTTACTAATAAGTTTGTATAACTTAAGCTGCATCTATTAAGGTAAATCTACTTAATAATATAAAAATTATTTACACAGTGAATCTTGGCCATTTAGCTCTGTGGCTAGGTTCTTCAAAGAAAAAACATTACAAAATGAATTTATTTCTTCTTCCTCAATTGTATTATTGCATTAATTATATTTATAATTAAAAATAAGGGAACAAAATCATGAATAGAACATGAATAATTTCTATAACATTTGACAGGTTGCATAGTTCAGAATATAGAAAAATGGTTACTATATGCTCTGAGATTTAGCATGTGACATTAGTTGAAATTTTCAAGGTGTGTGGGATAATCCATCATTTGAAATCCATGGAGATCCAGGATCACAGTCTCTATCAAGTAGTAAATTTTGATTAAAGGGTGATATACTTGACTTCAGAGAGAGTGAGCTGAGTTAACACAGCAGAGATGTGGTCCATAAGAATTGGTAAGAGGGAAAACAATTGGGTTGTTAGAGAACAGATTACGATTTCATTCACAGTTTGGAACCCTTTAGTGACATTTGCTACCTCTCCTCTTACCTAGTACTAAATCAGAGTCTGTCAGTCAACAGATATCCCTGATTCACACAGATGTGTCCTGCAGATTTCTTTCTCAAGAGAAGTGATGGACAAAAGCATCAATGTCCATAGTAACTAAAGAAATCAGCAATGATTACTACAACCATGAGAACTAAATAAAAAACAAGCTAACAAAACAAAAAATAAGCTATAAATATATGCCACAAAAATATATTTAATTCAAGAAAGTGAAAACTTTTCCCAAAGTAAAAACAAAACAAAACAAAACAAACAACAACAACAACAACATAGGAAATTTCCAGAGAAAATGGAATTTTCTTTTTTTCTCTCTTTTGTGTTCTTTTTTCATATAGGTGATGATTTTGGGGGGTCTCAGTGTTTAATTACAGAAAACTGCATCCATTTTCCTTCATTGATTTTAATTTTTTTCCTCTGTTGTATCCACTTCTGTAGTCACTGTATTTCGTCCATAAGTTTTTTCCTAGTCAAATTCTTCCCTAAAGAAGTCATCTGGAAGACCAGGAACTGGTGTGAAGTGCTTAAAGTAGCATGTATATTGAGATATATCTGAGATGAAGAGCTCAGCATTCTAATGATATCCTCTTAAATATAGCCTACAACATCTCTGGTTAAACAAAATAATAGTTTATGCTATTAAAACAAAATGGGCAAAAGCACCAATGTCCATAGTACATATTAAAGGCCATTGAATTACTTCTCACTGACTTTGATTCACTGATTATGAGGTAATTTAGCATAATATTTCCTCATGAGTTCAACTCCCAACTTTTCTGCTAGAATTTTTTATGTTGAGATGAGACAAGAGATTTTGTATCTATTGGAGGTGCAATGCTGTGCAAATTTATTGCCTAAACATATTCATATATTCAATAATGTGTATAAAACAACCACGTCACTTGAAGCACTTTTACATATACTTGGGTTATATTAGTAAAATAAATAGCTCCATTAAGGAATAAACATGAAAATACTGAGTAAGGTGACAGAAGGGAAGCAGATAGCTTATAAAAAGTGCACGTTAGAGTATTAATATGCTTTGGGTTGTCTACCAGGGATGCAAAAAATACAAAGAGCTTAAAAGTTTCCTAGTGTCTAAAAGTCCTTGCTTTACGTTCTGCATTTAAAATATTTTATTAAGGAAGTTTTAAGCATGTTTGTTCTTAAAGAAATCTCTATCCATATGCCCTAAATTCCTTTAGTATAACTTTGACAAGGATATTTTGCTACAATTTAATTTTTTCCCAGAGCTTGGAAAATGTCCTCATGAATGTCTTTCCAAAAATGTTCACCTTTATCATTATTTTTAGTTGTATCCAAAGATCTACATGAAGAGTTTTTTTAATTTCCTCACCCAGCATGCACTCAGCATCACAAGGTGATTGATGTAGGCACAGGGCAATAAGGAGACTTCATTGATAATAAACAGGTCATCAATAATACAGTCTCTTTCGTCTAATTAAAATCCAAGCAATGGTTGATTTTCTTACTTTATATAAAGTAACCCTGATGTGATCAATATATTTAAGCATACAGATCTTTTTCCTCCTTACTCACTGTATTATTCACTTACAAGTGAGTTACAAAATTATTTTGTACTAAAGATTTTGCTATGAACTCTCTTCTGGTATCCTTGTAACTATAATCAATAAATCAAATTGAAAGTATTTCTTTTTCTTTTTTTGGCCTAAAGGCAGCTATTACTCTACTCTCAATTGACTTTCCCTCAAACACTTATTTTCCCTAGTATTTATACTTTTTTATAAGTTATTATTCATTAATTTTATATATCACTGGGTCTGCAGTATTAAAACTCAAGAATGATTCAAATCAAAGGCAAGAGAGTTCCTAGTCTTAGACATGGGAGGGAAAAAGCAGTATTTTTTCAGTCTTTGTAAGTGGCAAAACTGTTGCTACTAAGAAACATATTTGGAGAAAAGAGCAGAATAAATGTTTAACCACAATTTTATATGACTTCAGAGTCTTCATAAATGGATACCTAATGACTCAGAGAAAACAGTGTTTTCAGGCAACATCTGATTGGGGTAGTAAATTTTAGAAACATGATTAAAGAAGTATGACAATAAGGAGCCAAATATATCTGTAAATAAATCCATAAAAATGCAAACAAAATTATCCAAGAGACAAATATAGCAATTTTAATTCTAAAATTATTGATAAGATACTATTCCCAATGTAATAGAAATTTTAATATGTTCTAAAACTAAAGTAATAGAAATAGTGTTTAATGAAGAATTATGAAGCTTATATCAGAAAAAAATGAAGATAATTGTACAAAGACATTAAGTCAGTTTTTCTTTATAAATGTAGATATCTATGTGTGTATTGATCAAAGCACATATAATTCATATTTCAGATAAATATGACAAATTAGAGAAATTTATATCTTCACCGTATACAATTTGATACAAAAAGAGGTAAAATATGTCATATCAATTCACTTATTTTATTATTTCCATATTTTATGACGTTTGCAAAGGACTAGTGAATGTAAATACACTTCTTAAAAATCAATAATATGATCTTGAGTGTTTGACCTATGATATTAATAAGTATATCATAAACCTTGCTTTGTGGCTATAATTCCTTAATATTTTTTAGCTAGTGAATTATTTAAAACATTATTTCAGCTCCATAATTTTGACAGTTAAACTCTTAGAAGAATTTTCAGAGACACAATTCAAGCTATGAATAAAATATCATCTCACTTTATAAATTTTTTTAAATTCTAGTATAAAAAAGAAATTTTAAGATTTATGTCTACCAAATAATATTTTAGACTACTATTAATTTTAGGATATAATTATACATATAATAGTAATGATTTTCAGTAGGTTAATTATCAATTCAGTGACATGCATAAAATTAGTCAAAAAAACTAAACATAGCACATTTTTATTAAAACCTCAGCACAGATACCAACTGTTTTAAATCAGATAATTACAGATGTTAAAGTAAGATGTAAATATAATTACATGTTTAATCTCTCTATAATTATTTAATCTCACCTAATTTTATTTTTTTATAATTGTAGAATTAAACTTACTGTGGTGTACTTTATTAAATACTTCATGTAGTTTAAATTAACACAGAATCCTCTGGATTCTACAATATAAGTCTATAAGGACAGAAATAAGCCTTTAAAAGTGTGCCTGATTTAAATCTCAAAACTCATTAGTAAGTTTCATGTGCTTTCAATTATATGAATTAACATTTTAATATACAGTCTAAAATATATTATGAATGGATGTAAAGCAGGTTGTCACCTGATTGTCATCTCAAGTAAAAGAATAGGGTCACCAAATCCCATAAAATTTGAGCTTGATTTTCAGAAAAAAATACTTTGGAGCAAGAAATGTAAATAGCTCCTGTGAAGAACAATACTGTGTGCAACAACACGCATTTCTTTTTTTGTTTGTTTGTTTTGTGGCTTACTTCTTTGAGGTGCAATGCCATGAAAATCATTGTTTGCAAGGACATAGCTTTACTAAATTTGAAATCATAAATTTGTCTTCCTTCCAACTGTCACTGCAAATTTTTGTAGTCATAAATAGCTCCTAAAATGCCAGGCCTTAAAATGGAATCACTTAAATTGTATCAATATTATTTTCAAGCAAGAACAATAGGCAACATTTTTAATGACTTGGAATTCATACCTGAAACAAATGAATCCCCAAACAGCTCAGCTTTTATAGACTGTCTCATGAAGGTAGCCCCAGCTTCTCTGCTTTTAATGATCACGGTTTCTATATTTAGAACCCCTGTGCTGGAGTGCACTGCTCTTGCTTTATGGGAAATACAATTACAAAAGAAAAAACTTTCTCTTTTCTTCTTGAAACTGAAATGAATGTAATTCTAATATGGTAACAAAGAAAAGGCATTTCAGACAATGATTACTCCTTAATGGTTTTGCTATTCAAGTTCTTTTACATGCTGATGGAGATAGGTAGCTTCTCTGCACTTTCAGATAATTTACTTTTGTTTTCCTCTGCACCCCTGGTCAATAGTCAATCAATATTTCATAGTCTCTTTCCCACCACAGTACTCGTGCTTATCACATGATAACACTCTTTAAAGCGCTCTAGTAATTTGAGTTTGTATCAGTCGACGTCTTTCTGTTCTTTTGTATATTCGGCTAGGGTTTTAAATATTCAAATGCTCGTTAAATAATAGTTTTTAATATATGTTAGCCACATAGATTATTTTTTGCTCAGTGCCCGTAATGAAACCTAGAGCCTCACATAGAGCCTCACATATGCTGAGCAAGTGTGGTACCACTCATTTATGTTCTCAGTACTTTATTGATCTTTTCATAACCATCACAAACAGGGAATTTGAAAGAAAAAAATAAGAGTGGTTACTTGCAGTACTATAGTCGATGACATTCCTTCCACATAAAATTAGAAAAGGTCTTTTTAAAAAATGATCAAATAAAGTCTAATAAAAATGAATTTTATTTAACCAGCAATAGTAAATATAATTTGTCAATAAACTAAATACAAAATTGATGGCTCACAGATTCTTTGTATCTATTTATTATTTTTCATCTGAGTTTCAAGATATTTCAGGAGTTCATTTTGGGTAATTAAAGGAGGTTTCTAGGAAAAGGGACATAGCTCAGGGGCACAAGCACCTGCCTGGCAAGGTAAGGTCATGAGTTCAATCCTTGGTACTTGAAAAAAAAAAAAAAAAGAGAGAGAGAGAGATTTCTAGAAAAAGAGCAAATTTGCATGCTTTATTTCTTTTTAGTTAAAAGCTTTCCTAACTAACATTATTTGAAAAACTCACAGATTGATTTTACAATAAATTATTAACAAAATAAATTTCATTCTTTCTGATGACCACTTTATTAATAGCAGAATATTAAAAATATTTCTATATCATTGTTTGATAGAATTGTGGGGAGCATTTGGTGGCTGAAAAGATAAGAAGTATGAAACATAAATGACCTTTATTTTGAGAATGTGGGGAGAGAGACACCGGATCCCTGGATCGTGGCATTCACCCCCCTCTGTGGAACACATGGAGTAATGCCTGAGGTGCTTTAGGGATGCACAGGTAGCCCATTGGTATTCTTTTGGCTCCATAGGTAAGTTCCTAGGGGTGGGGGAGATAGAGTCACAGGTAAATTCCTAGGGATGGGGAAGACAGAGCTCCTTGGTTCTGCCTGAGGCTTTATGGGCTACAGTGTCCTGTCTGGGCCAAAACTCTTTCATTGTTATTTTTATATTTTGATCCCTTTCATTTAGCACAGGTTAGTATAGTTAAATTTTATTTCTCCACCTGTCTCTGGTAAATGTCCCTGCAAGTAATCCTAAGAAACTCACTTGCCCTTTTCTCCTCTCTTTCCAGTCCCTTTCTGCTTTCACTCTCAAGTCCCTTTCCCTTCTCCCTGTTCTCCCTGTTCTGTGATCTTCAATAAATGGAGCTACTTACTCCATGCTGCAAAATAAATAAGTAAATAAAAGAAGCTCAGCATCAATGGTAGTGGTTCTCAACTTTAAATACACATAAAAAGTACCTGGAGTAATTATGTAGAGTTAAATTACTGTCTTTGGGATTTTTGGGTTAAGAAATTTCTGAGTAAGCTCCCTACATGTAAATTGTTAACATAATTAGATAGATGCTGGTGGTCTGATGCCACTTTAAGATAACATAAGTGAATAGATAATAAAACTAGAGAATAGAGGAACAATTTTAACATAAAAAAGTTTCAGGGAAATTTTTGACTGTTGGGAAAGGAATTCATTCTATAAAAGAAAATACCATTAAAAAGGAAAGGAAAAACAAAGAAAGGAAGGGGACAGGAGGAAAGAGTAGGGAAGAGAGACAGGGAAATGGAGAAAGAGATGAAGCAGGAGGAGAGTATGATAGCTCGGACCCCGGAATAAAACCCAAGGAAGCAAGAAATTAAAATTTGGGGAGCAAAGGCTTTATTTTAGGCCAGGCCTGGCATCGCAGTCCAGGAGCCAATTTGGAGACTGTGTGCCTTACAGCTAGAAAGGTTGGGTTTTAAAGCCAAAAACCACAGGAATGTTGTAATCGCTGACAGTTAGGTAGCATCTGGGCTTTATAGAACTTCCTGTAATTTCCTTGAAAGTTAAGCATTTCTTAATTACAGCACATTTTATTACAGATAGCCAAATGAGGGGTAGGGGAGGGGGTTACAGGAAACTGATACCTAAGACTTTTACAACTTTCTCAGGAAATTGAAACTTAACCTAGAAAGATAGGAAGGGAAGGGGATTTACAAGGAGCTGAAACTTAAGTCTTTAGTGGAGATGGAATTTTAATCTCTATTGAAACAGCGCATACAGAACAGGAAGGGGGCGCAAGGGTTAAAACTAGGCAATAACAGAGAGAGGAAGAGAAACAGAAGAATAACAAGGCATTTTAGATTTTGAGAGTAAAGACTTGTGGAAGGGAGGAAAGGTCATATAAAGTATTTGTAACACAAAATGAAAATTAACTAATACTAGAACATAAATACAGTGCCTGTCATGTTGTGATGACTAATTGTTAAGGCAATGGCAAAATTAGATTTAAAATGCTTCAATAAAGAATTTTCAGAAATAAAATTTTAATTGGTGAACATCATAAAAATATGACAAATAAAAGGCAAAAAAATTTGAGATCAAAAATCTTGTTTTATATGATTTTATATTTGTGAGATTTGAGAAGCATTATCTTTTCTATGAATTGTATATAGCAACAGCTGTTTTTCTTTAAGCTAAAAATAATATAGTTTTAGGTTTCTATTTAATGATTCCTAATGCTAAATTGGACTTTTAAGTACACAAAGATATGTTAGATTAACTACCCATTTTATTAGCTATTATAACTTAATACGTACATCAAAAAATATACTCTAAAGAATGTTTAAATAAATGTGCCCTAGAGGTCAACTCATTCCGTGAAAAGGACTTAGTATAAAGTAACCCAGATGCTTTTAGACCCACTCTATAATTAAATACCAATTTGATCCCAGAAAGGTAATGACTAAAAAGCCTTTGGACATAGGCATATGTCTTTTAGATGGTGAGAATTTAAAAAAAAAAAAAAAAAAAAAAAACTGACCCGCAAATCATATATTTTATTATTTTAAAATTTATATTCTAAAGATAAAGGAACCTGCCTTAGGGTAGTGAATATTCCTACTTGAAAGGGTCAAATATTTGACTTTTAGCCTAGGTGGTTTCTCATATCAAACGTTCTATATGTATTGTGTTCTCTATATCTACATATATCTCAGAAACTGACTAACCCATCAGTTGCTCTAGAATTGGGCCATGCATTATTAGGAATTCAAACACAGTCCTAGGCATGAGTTGTACAAATCATGAAATTATTCATTAACTCGATCATTATGTTCTGAATTAACGATGTCAAGAACAAGTTTTTGATCTGCTTTAAAATGTTTTCTTCTTCTAGTGGTTACATAGAGGATAAGAAAGAGCAGTCTACCTCCTGCTTCAGTGTCAGTCGGGTAGGACAGCCAGGAGGGTGCAAGCCAACCTGCCAAAGTCAGGTCTCAGGAGAGGCTAGGAAATGTACCGCAGGGAGTGGATGAGAGGGAAGAGGACAGAGCAGCCAATTTAGGTTTCTAAAAATAGAATAAATCAGTTCTACATACATAAAGGTCTTGATCAAATGTATAACAAGATCTCATTCTGTGTTATACCTCAATAATTGATTCATTAAATATATTTCAAAGATCATGACACTCCAAAATGTGAGTTAGAATAATGAAATTGTAATAGAATTTTAACTTGAATAATAAAAAGAAATCAGTGGCTTCAAAGGTTGATATATAGTTTATCTAATAATACATAAAGATTTTATAAATATATTTAAAAATTTATACTCAGAAAAAGTTTGTCATTTGTTGAGATATAATCTCAGTACAAATAAATACATCTCTTCCTTTAAAAAATTAGCAAAACATATTTTATACATAGTAAGTTGTCTCATTGAACAAAATCCTTAAAGTGTGTGAAAAAATTTTATTCTACACTTAAAAAATATATAAATTCCATCAGAATTTATTTTTAATGATAGACAGGAAGTATTTTCAAATATTTTCTTTAAATGTTAACTTTTGGTGTTATGGCCTAAATTCTTGTCTATGACAACAGTGTCCTATACAATATGGTAACAATTAGTTAACTTTTAAAATTAACATAAGTACTGTCTATTATTTTTTAGAGTTATATAAGCCAATATTTTATATTACTGCTCTCCCCCAGTTTGATATATTTTCATGGCAAGATTCATGTATAAATAAGAAAAATTCAAATAATTAATTAGAACTATATTGTTTCTTCATACACAGCCATTACATAGTAAAAGTTTAATAAGACTTCACCTGTGTGAATATTAAACTAATCACATTGCTTGGGGTAGGTAAGTCCACTGTTTATTCACAGTCACAGGAAAATCTCGCACAGTAAAAGTAAAAGCTGCCCTATTCTACTACACACTTAAGAGTTTCTAAAGAGAGAATGCTGGATTTTATGGCTGATATAAACATTATTAAATGTATGGCCAACTCAGTACCTACAAAGGGGCTATGAAACAATAATTCTACTTAAAGAAATTGATGACTGACTTTTCAAGCAAAAGTGGCCATTATAAGAAAAAATTAGGTTCGACGTTCAGGGAAAATATATTTCTGAAATGTGATGAAACCATGCTCAAAATTATAAAACTCAATGATTACCATAGGCTGCCAGGTATCAT